AGGTCATTTTCTCTGTATATCCATACCAGCTCCCTTTTACGAATCAATATCAACACGATTGAAAACCCGGTATAGTATAAATGAATAACTTCTATTATATGGGAATGTTTTAGAAAAGTAATGGAGCTTTTATCTTCATTCCGAGACTATATATTACAACTTTCCTGAAAGGTCTATACCTGGACAAGGGTCCTACTTAGCAATCTGTAAAATGGATCTCAGACCTACAAATAGCGTGAAATTCTCTTGATGTATTTGTTGATTTTTTTTTTGCATGTCGTACAATCAAACGGTGACCAATCCACTGATATTCACCAGGACGGTCAAGTCTTTGTTTTAAAAGTTTACGAAATTTCCACATCCTCCTATTTAAAAAGTTAGTGATACATTTATGTACTAAATAAACAAAATCATGAATGTTTAAAGTGGTACTCAAAGTCAAGGTTACACAAGAGTAACATTATAATGTCAACTTATCAACATGAGACTAGTTTGTTTTTATATTTAGCCGGCTTTGAGTGATACTGTTACACACAGTATGGCTGTTAAGTTTTTCCATCATTTAATGTTATTAAACCCACAATACATTAGTGCGTCGATTCTTAGAGAATTGGAATTTAAAGAATCGATGGGTAATATACTTTTGATAATAGCTTCTCAAAAATTTGCTATATATAAAAATAAGAAGATGTGGTATAATTGCTAATGAGACAACTTTGCCAGAGACCAAATGGCTGACAAAGAAGTTAGCAACTATAGATAACCGCGCGGCCTTCGACAATCAACAAAACTCATACCGCATAGCAAGCTATAAACGGCCCCGATATGACAAATGTAAAACAATTCAAACTTAAAAGTTAACGGCCTGATTTATGTACAATAAACGAAAAACAAATATGATAGACAGGAACAAATGACGACCATTGAATTACAGGCTCCTGACTTGGCACAGGCACATACAGAATGTGGCGGGGTTAAATATGTTTGCGGGCGCCCAACCCTCCCCCTTTATGAATACATCTTGCCACTTTTGGACTCTTGACTAATTATCGTAAAATTTCTTTATCATGAAGAGAGCATGACAACCTATATACTAATTCAGACCTTAAAAATTCCGTGACGCTCTGCTGCTTCGGACTCAAAAACGGCCATAACATTTCACAGAATGTTGGCTGTAATACATATAATTCACTGGCAGTCATTGATGCTTCGTGTACATCCAAGACTTTCAAAGGTCCAAATTGTGAGATCGCTCCAGCTTTTCGAAAACATGAAATATCAAATGCACTACGTATATTAGAAAAGGTCTATGTCCATATATAATTGCTAGTTTTGGAAAATCACGTCAAACGCCTTAACTAATGGCACTAAAGGGAAAGGATATAGTAGAGGTATGGGTAGGACTTGGATTACAGTTCCGATAGCAAGTGACCATGACGGTGAGGATTGCATTAGTAATTATAAATAGTATGATGATGAGGCACGATCATATCAAGCAACTTAAAATGTCGAGACAATGCATTCAACAAACGATATAAAATAATAACACTCTATAGCCATCAACAATACCAGTATGGGTTTTGCTCATTGTTGAAGGCCGTACGGTGACCTATAGTTGTTAATTTCTGTGCCATTTGGTGTCTTGAGGAGAGATGTCTCGTTGGCAATTATACCACATCTTCTTTTTTTTCAGGTTAATAATTTGGTACGTCAGACGCGTGTTTCGTCTACATATAAGACTCATCAGAGACGGTCGAATGAAAACAGTTGCAAAGCAAATTATAAATATTTAGTTTCATTACAATGCATGTATGACTATAACGATAGTCACCTTGTAATGATGGAATAACCATGGGTAATTATTCTTGTAATGATGTTACAGCAAAGGTGGCAAACAACGGGCAACTAACCCCAAACTTATGTGAACAACGGGCAACTCACCCCAAACTTATGTGAAAAACGGCAACTCACCCCAAACTTATGTGAACAACGGGCAACTAACCCCAAACTTATGTGAAAAAATGAACAGCTACTTATTTGCTGCCATATGATAATGAAATAACTACAGGCAAACAACCTCAAAATGATGTAGGAAATGGGCAAATTTGTTTGCAATCTTATTTGATTGGACAAATATGCATGAAGATCATAATGATGGGTAACAACAAGTCGTCGATCTTATGATGGTGGGATAACAACTTACCTTTAACTAATCCCATAAGAATGTAAAACAATTGGACGACCCTGCATATTATAGTCTCGTAATGGTAAAATAAAAAAGTAACCACCGTTTAACCCCGCCAAATGTCCATGTCTGTCCGGAACCACGTCAGTGGTTGTCTTTTTTCATATCTAAATATGTTTTGTCGTTTTGGGATTAGGGCGTTGATGATTTCGTTCAACGTTGTTTGAAAGTTATAGCACAACTTCATATAAGTATGCATGGTCTTAACGTTGCTATTTTAGAATTGAAATACGGGTCGACGATGAAGTACAAAAATTGAAAAACTATTGAATTGGGTAAATATCATTGGATTTGTATTGCCACGTGAGTTAAGATTAAATTAAAAGAACAGTTAACCATACTTCATAGAACTCAACGCTGATGAAATGTCTGATTTCAAACTGGGTTCAATGGTAAACATGAGGTATAAAAAAAAGAGGCGTAACGTCTTCCGTACGAGGCTGATGTAAGTTTCAATTTTGTTTTTTGTAATGTATAAATGCGCCAACAGTCACGTCCGCCGTATGCATGCTTACTGGGAGAATGTTATGCTCTTTGTATTTGGTTAGCAACTATCCAGTTTTAATCTCTTTGGATGTTAAAGCTATCCCTATATTGGAAAAGGAAATATCCCTTATCCGGCTGGTGTTACTGTAAAATTTTCTTGTCATACATGTATTTGGGAAAGAATACCCACAGATTCGTGATTTGAAAATGAGTTTGATTTGGCAAATTTTGATTATGCAACACGTTAAACCTGTTTTCTTTGCGACAAAAAAAAATCATATAAATTCCAAATAGTTTTATAAAACATGTCACGTCATATTTTGTATTCAAAACGGCTGTCAGTTTTGAAAAAAAACCGCACCAAGTCTGTTTTGAAATTGACTTCACTGAATTTTAAGTTTTAATGCAGATTCTTAAATACAAAAATGAATTTGACGTACTGGCAAACGTGTTTGACAAAAATAGACATGAAACGAAAAAAGTCGACATGATGGAAAAAGATACTATATGCATGAGTAATAATAATAATAGACAATTCTGTTGATCGTCATATATTGCGTGTTTGCTATGTAGTGATGAATATATGTCTCAATCAATCTCCAAGGAGATTAAGATGTCACACGTCCCTTTTTTAGGCCCTCCCTTTCAAAATCCTGGATCCGCACCTGTGGGTCGATCGGATTTGAGGACATGAAATTTTGACTCCCATTAAAGGATGAGAGTGTTTCCGTTAGTTTGAGACATTATGCGTTGCATCCGACTAATAAAAATGGTAGTTGCAATTTTTCGTGGAGAAAGCACGGCACTCTCTTACATTGGGCATTGGATTTGTACATCACGCACAGCCAAACAGATACCAGCCCCTTCAGCATCGGTTTTACTGGTCTGGAGAAGCTGAACTTTCTTTCTTAATCTTTTTGAATTTTGAACGGCTTAGAAAAAGAATCGAACGCTGTCATATCGGACATTAACACTTAATTAAGGCGTTCAGCTGACCCAAAGAAAATTATCAAAATGAACCTTTTTGAAATGTGAGAATCTAGAAAAAAAAGTGTCATGATAGCGGACTTTTTTTAAAACTAAGTTGGTTTATAATCTCACATTTTGAAACAATCGAGACACAAATGAGTTTGGACTTGAAAGCCATAACAGAGTTGGGAATAGTATTTGTATACAATACGATGCACTCTTTATAATTATTTTTTACATTTTTCAGTATGAAACACTGAAAAACATTCTTGATTTTTTTGGTTGAAAAAAAATTGATTACTGGTTGTTTTAAGTGCAGTGGCAAATGTTTCATGCATATGCATTATGACACGAAGCTGACCATATATCAGTAGGTATGATCTTAAGAGAGAGTAAACCAGGATGATAGTAACATATTTTTTGTTGCCACTGTAAAACAAGGACATGTTTGGTAGCCGACCGTGCGAGGGCTTTATAGCCAAGCCAAGATCGTTAAATACACCCGTCATCATGATGTTTGGTAGTCAGAAATTTAGCTTTTACAAAACTTTACTTATCAACATCTCCAAAAAGCAAATTCAACATGAAAAAGTGACATTCTTGTAAAACTTAACGTCCCCAACCGCATGTGACTGCGTATTTATACATCCCGAAAAAATATGCCGGTGTTGCTGTCAAATAAAAAATTCGAGGGAGTCGTATAATTTAACACGTCATCTACACTTGGAGTCGTTTAAGGGGTATAATTTAATTCCTGCTGAATTTTTGACAATATTTCATACAGTCAATAATTAAGTATTTAAATAACAACGGAACATGCGTGTTCGAATTTCTCCATAAAAAGTCCATAAATATAATTTTATTAGTGTTTAATAACTAGAAAAAAAACTATTTTAAATACACAGTTTTGCACATTTGAATAAAAAGGACGTTTTATAATAATAAAGATGCAGAGTCTTGCTAATAAAGACACCAATAATATCTTCAAAAATAATCATCACAATAGGAGTTATATTTCAAAATGTTTATCATTGAATATGAAAGAACTACAATCTGAAGAGACAAAAATCCTTAGAATCATTTTATCTCATTAGCAAAACTGCTGAAGTAAACTGTAGTGAGAAAATTTGTTGCCTTACGATTCGTCTTTAACCGGTCGATTGACAACTCGGGGAGAGAATATGATAATTTTATATATACGATATCCACAATTATTATAAGGAAAGTTTTGACATAGCTCCCACCCACCTTTGAATAATGGTGTTTGGAGGTGTACGTTACCATTGTATGAGAGCATTTCACCCATCAATGTCATTACAAGCTAAAACACGGACTCATAAAATATTAGAAACTGTCTAAGGAAGTCGTGTTTTCACACAAGTATTTGACTAAAATATTGACATATGGGTTGTAATACAGTCCTGGCTATCTTAATCAGCGGATTATAAAACTTCACTTAACTCACTGTCACACAAGGTAAGAATCTTTTAATCAACACTTTAGTGAATATCTTCAGATATAATTAATTTGTGGTAAAGAATCACGCAAATTATTACTGATTAGTTTTCATTTTCGTAACATGTTACTTTGTTATACATGACATAATATTCAGGTTGACTGGTCATCGATTAAAGCGGACCTGGCAGAAAGCATTTCACAGTTGATTGCCTCGTCACATTTTGACAACATGCCCCTCCCCAACCTGTCCGCAATTCATTCAAAACCCACTGCCCATCAATTTTTATACACATCATTGATAAAAGAAATATCTATTAGCACACGATTATTTATGGCTGTTTACAAATTGTCAAAACTGATCACCGAACAATTATAAAAGTAACTTTGCTTAATGGAGCTAGGGAAAGAAGGAACTTAGACTGTGATCAAGTTTAAAAAATGATATGTTTCATTTACAAATTTAATTAGTGCAATCTATATAAATTGACTATTTTGGGAAACTTTATTGTACGTTGCAGTAAAATTTGTATCGTACCTTTGTCTGGACTTATAATTAATTAGCAGGATTTTGTTGTGCTTTTATTCGTCATAATTGTCTGCTATCTTATCAATATTTAAAGCAGATGTATTTTATTTGGGTTTTATAGGAGAGAAGTTATGCATTGGAAAGTAAACTCTACGGTGTGTGTAAACCTATCTATTTGGATAGAAAACACAACACGCAAACACCTTTATCTATTCGTACAATTTTGTGTTCCATATCAATTTGGGGTTACTCATGGTTAACATCGCAATATGTCAAAACTGAATATGTTTTTACGCATTCATGTAACAACATAATTTATATTTTTCTATTTTCTGTCACTGGATAATTTTGTAACTCTAATGTTGATGATTTTGCATTTGAACTGAATAAACATAAGATTATTTTTATTATAATTATAATTATTATTAGTATTATTATTATTTTGTAAGCAGTTTTCGTTTCTTCAGAATTATAGAATTTTCCGTATGTATTTTATGATTCCCGGATGTATAGGTTCCAGTGTTCCTGAGGGAGGTAAATCCAGAAAAGCGCTTCGGATGCACGAAATTTATAAAATTGAATTTAATTTACACAAATTTATCGGGAAAAATAACCATTTTACACTTAAATCTGTTTTGTAAAATATGCAATATTTAGCCTTTGTTGGTCAACTAATTTTGGGGGAAATATGATTCATGCTGCGCCACATGGGAATATATTCTTTTTAAAATTTATTCTTAATTATTCACATATTGCATTATGTTTATAGATTTAGAAATTACAAATTCAGTTATGCAACTTTTAAAATTCTAATTTGCATCGATAGAACTTATTAAATCATTTGCGTCATAACTTTTAAATTACCAATATCATACAAAACGGCCATGGCCAAATCGGCGACGTTATAATGTGCAACCATATTTTGATAAACTGAATATTTGAAAGGTTTTATGTGAACGATATAAAATATTATTAACAAAACGTTGAATGGAATTAAAATTGGGATTATTAAAAGGAACCTTGAATGAAAGTAAAACTAAAATGGACGGAATAAAGTGATCCCATACTACTTTGTCTACGCACTGATTTGATATAAAAAATAACTTCTAGGCATTTTTAACCCAAATTTTAGTTTTCTGTCAATATTGGTCCTTTTAGACAAATGTTAGATATATTTTATAGGAACCAAGTTTACCAATTTTTTGAAATTCTCTTTCAAATCCATTTTATACGTTATATATGCCGTATTAGCCATGGTAAATTGCAAAAGCATATTCTATTCGCATCAGACGCACGTGCCTTTAAAGAGACTCCAACTTAGTCTCCTAAAACTCCCAATAGTGGAAATACTACTTGTAACCATTTTGTTTAAAAACACTGCACTTTAATTTATGATTTATACAAGTACACAATTACTGAATCATGTTACAAACTCCAAAACTTGTCTTGTGATAATTTATAAATACATAATAAAACTGAGGAGTTTAATAAGTAAGAAGTCTTGCGTCATAGTTATTTACATATACGTATACCAAGTTCATAAAACAAATAGTGACGCTATACACTAGTATTTTGCAACCGCTTATTTAGATGAAACGAATATTATGGTTTGCCTAAAACACTACACGAACTACCAACCAGTCAAAGAAATTTAATATAGAAAAATCGAAACAGAATATCTCGTAATTGATCCGGGACGACCATTTGATTTTTTAAGGTTGGGGATGGGGAGTAGAATTTTTTGCGAACGGAATATCAGTGTTTACCCCTTACCTAGGACGGCTAAATTTTTTTGGGTCGTTTTGTAGTTCTTACCAGGCTAGAATATCAATTCCCAAAATCATTCTGCCCTCTACAAAATCATATGGTAGTTCGTTACCAAAAATATTGGATGCAAAAGCAGACTGTACAACCAATCATCTCCCCCAAAACAAGTAAACACACATGTATAAAAATGCACTGGTTTACTTTGGCTAGTTCAAACCATAACTTAAAATATATTTTTATGACGTAATAAATAAAAATAATAATAAAAATAATAATAATAATAATAATAATAATAAATAATTTTCTTGTACTTATGAATGTCAATACAGAAACTACATAAAAGAATGAATAAATCCGCTCTGAGGGTTTCCAAATTTTACATATATATATATACAAGCTGCTGAGCAAATTAGTTGTCTTCATCTTTTGGTGTTTTGCTTTTGATTTTAATCTATAAGAATTAGATTGATGTGTATGCTTGGTGACCGATCATATGTAGACTATAGAGAAGTTTCCACATGCATTTATATATTTGACATCACCAAAGTGGCCAAACCCGTGACCAACCGGGCCATCCAAAAGAAAAACCAATACGTAAATGCTTACTACAGGAATCGGTAACAGGAGTTTCCAGTCCTAAAACGTGTGTAAAAGTATAATCTGACCATAGAACGAATATTTTAGAAGCACCTCATGAATTCATCCCCGATTTATTGGTAGAGTTTGTGTTGCTCAATCTTTAATTTTGTGTGTAAGGATTTTTTGTCGTTGTTTGTCTTTTCGTTGTCATTCTTTTGGTCCATGGTGTTGTTACTTTCTATTTTCTAAATTTACAAATGACTGGTTTAAAAAATCTGCTAAATGTTGTGAAAAATATAACTCTCAAAATTCTATCATTGGGAAGAGGATGATTTGGCATATGCCGTTGATCTGATTGAGAGCATCAGTGGTGCACCAAATTTTCCATCATGTACTAGTTGCTGTTTGGGACATTTTCTTAATGTTGGAAAAATTGTATAGAACATTTTCAATATTTAATTTGCATAGCTTCTTAATGTAGATTAAAGTGGAGCCATGCAATGACCATTCGAAATCTTCAGGATTATCCCACCATATCAAAAATCTTTACTCGGCTTTGCCGCGCAGCAAGATTTGAGTTCTCTCCCCTCTATGTCCAGTTTTCCTTCTTTTTGGGATACGAATTATCATTGATGCGGTAAAAAAAAAAAGAAGAACAGTCTCATGAATAAAATATATTGATTATCAAGTACTTTTGTAAAGTTCAGATATCTATTGACCCGTTTTGAATAACTGTTTATTGATATATTTCAATCATTCGACAAATAAATTTGAAATAAACAAAATAATTAAGTTGTCCTAAAGAAATGCTTGTTTCGTCACCATTCAAAAATGCGAATGTTTTAATTTAAGGAACAAAGAACAAAGGTACATTATATGGAAAACAGGTGGAAAATTGACTTCATCTTGTCAAATACGAGCTCGTTAAATAGTGACAGTTAATTCATTTTATAGCTGAAATTTATAAGGATGTCATTTTTTGAACGGAGTAGTAAATTTTGTTATACACATATTCGGTTATAGCCCGAAGCAGTTTGTTGTACTACAAAGCCTTAAGGCACTAATTTCTCTACGAGTCACAGGTGTGTTCGCAGTTTAGTATGGAATTACACTGACTGACCTAACTAAAGAGATACTAAGTTGGTCAAAATGTCATATTTGTAACTGCAGTCATAATCATTACAACATTTTTCAATTAAAGTAAACAATTTTTATACAAAGTCCGTGACTCGAGCTTTAGAAAAAATAGTTTAAAACACATGAATTTAAAGTACAAAAAGCTCACCTCTATAAGTTACTAATGAATGCATGTGTAATGGAGTCATATATGCACTGTGCATGTAATAAAACATACTTTGAAAATATTTGCTCGTGAATAAGAAATGTATACCGATTTCCTTAAATTTGTTTCACTCCCGTGGTAAAAATTGAAAAAGTTGTTGAAATTGAATATAATTGAGCTTTAATAGTGCACTTTTAAAGATTTTTCGAAATTTTCCCATTTCTTATTAGGTCGTTCTTATTATCCATGAAGTCATTATGTTATTCAGCCCAGGGAACTGCTGCTGAAGACAACATTTAGACGTTATTGGAAGTTTTACCTGTTTGTAAAATTTTGTATAGAAGAATAGATAGATGATAGAAGATAGATGGACTTAGAATTCGATGTAATTCTGGTTTTGGTTCTGTCCTTTTTATTCTTTTTTGTTTCTCTCGAATTAATGGTCACAATTTGTCAAACTATAGTTTCCAAAATTGCAGTTTTAATCCATATTTAAGCATATATAATTTGTTTACATATCCAAATTACGACATTATGTTGTTACCGCCTCAAGAGACAAAAGGCCCTAGTGTGCGGGAAATTGGCACTGCTTCTTTGCCTTTTACTATTTAAGTGACTCTCTTGTCGAATTCGTTGGTTTGCATACATGTTTCCTTTATTTTTGATATTTTGTAAGTTGAAAATATAGCGGAGGTCTTTGTGCCACCTTCGATGTAAACTAGTATGGGGCCAGCTGAAGCCCGCCTGCGAGTGCGGGATTTTCTCGATGCGTGGAAGACTCATTGGTGGCCTTGGGCTGTTTTCCGCTCTTTAGCCGAGTTGTTGTCTCTTTGACACATCCCAGTTTCCATTCTCTATTCTAATAGGAGATATGGGGAATTGCCTGTTCAAACTGTTCAAGTGCGGGTATATTATAGGATAGTATGGTCATCGAGTTTAGTATAAGGTACAAGAAATATTGTGCACCATGATAATTTTTTCGAAATTTTGATAGAAAATTGCATGCATATTTCGAAACAATATTGGGAGAGTTGCCTAAATTCGCCCATGCTATTTCATATATATCTGAATATAACATCCCTTGTCTTTGTTTTGTTTTGGAAAAAAAAAATATTAAGTAATGACTAAGTTTATAAAATAAATTTGAACAAGATTTCAAAATAGTTATAAAATAAATCAAAAGAGTTCGAATTATAGAAAATAAAATAAAAAGCACTGCTGTCCTCACTTAAAATAGCCTGGTTATAGATTAAAATGATATACCGACACTACATGGAAATAGATACAAAATTGTACTTGAACTACGGGAAGATTTGATAACGACATATGGAATGTTCTTTTTTAAATATTTGTCTGAAAAATAAAAATAAAATTCTTTATAACCTAGACAATATGTCAGAAAGCTTAGGTCGGCAGCCATTTAAGAGCTAAAAGATATGTAAAAAAAATTCTCTCTACGACCGGTAGTCAATAAAGAGTCCACACACACCCCTAACCAAAACTTCGGAACCAAAAAAACAAGACAAAACAAAACAAAACTATATGTGCATGATCGGAAGAAACTAAGAAGACAGACCCAGAAAACTAAACAGTTAAACACATGCCACTCAATTTTAAAAAGCAAGATCATTTACAATTTCTTAAGCATTTTTTTTACTGAGACCATTTGTGTATTTAGAGTACTATAGTAATTTGACTTCGAAAGAATGGTATGTTTTTAGAAACTGTCTGTAGTTCCATTTTCGTGGATTTTTGAATGAAAGTTGACAATTGTTGATACCCGATCAGAAACAGATCATAAAAAGACACAAATGACTGATATGAAAGTTGAACAGCTTTTGGGAGTATATATTAGGGAGCTACCATTTGATTTTTATGGGGGGGCTAGGATGAAAAATTTTGTCCTGCCTTTTTATTTTCCCCTCTATTCGGTCCTGCCTTTTTATTTTTCGCTCTATTCGGTCCTGCCTTTTTATTTTAGTTAATCCTGACTTTTTTTTTACATAAATTGTCATTCTCCCTTTTTTTTTGCAAATAATCTCATCCTGCCTTTTTTTTACTCAAAACTCCTGTCCTGCCTATTTTTTTCAAATTTCATCCTAGCCCCCCCCCCCCATAAAAATCAAATGGTAGCTCCCTTAGTGTCACTAAACATAGTCAAAATTATGGCTAGACAGAGTCGTGGGAAACAGTAGAAAATTGTACCAAATACAAACAATATATTCAATGACAAGTCACATGTCTTTTGCTTCTTTTTCATTGTGTGTCTAGTTAAATTTTCAAAACCTTCGGACCAATCGTGAAGAAAAATAAAAGCATTCTGATAAAAAGTCACAATTTTGAGACGATATTTTAGCATGAAAATAGTTCTGGTTAAAAAAATGCTGCAAACTGCACATGCTAAATGAATGGTTTCATTTTGAATCAAATAATGAATTATTTAGAACATATATTATTAAAGTTCAAACGTCTCCGTAAAATCCTCGTGTTTTGATTTGAGACTAGACGTTCTTAAATATTTTTTTGCGTTCGTATTTTTTTTCTTATGCCATCGAAAACCAACAAAAAGCGGACAGAAACAAAAACATAACTTTGGCATTAACTGTATATGATTTATTTTTCTCGGAGATATTGAAAACACTGCAAAATTTCACACAAGACGCAAACTTGAAAGTCACGACAGCGGTCTGGCGTCTGAGACTTATATAATAGGCTTCGGTCAGCTTGTATTTAACCAGGTGTAAGTTTTCAAATAACTTGTGTAACATTTCTTGCAGCGAAATGCCAAGAGGTGACTGGCCAATTATAAACAAATGTGGGGTCAAATTCTGAGCGTCGATCTCCATTATAATTGCCAAATTTAAGCTTGCTGAAAGATGGAGTCCAGAAGATTAATGGCCATTGTAAATATTTACAGATGACACACTGTTTTTAAGTGGTCAGTCGGCAATACTATATGCACATTATATACTTTTGATGTGAATGTTGAAACATCATATATTGGCTCTCAGGGAGACAAATTTGAAGTATGTAGATGAATGAATAAAGGATAGAGAAGGGAATAAAGGATAGAAAAGGTCTTAAAAGTATAGGAGGCAACAATCCCGGAAAAAGCTACTTGAAAGCAGACGTCTAAACGTTAAGCATATCTAAAAACTAGTTATAAAAATAAAAACATGGAACTCGACACATTTTTCTGTTGAATATCAGTATAAAGAATTGTTTGGTAATTTTAATATTAATGAACATTTTGTTCAATTGTGTTGATTTGAAAACAATTAACAAGTCTCCTAGTGCATAAATCCGGAGGATTTACATGTAAAAACTGGCTTTTCATCTTGAAGGTTTTGAAGATTAATACATCTTTCTTGAAAAACTCTAAAAAGAAACATTTTTCAACACAATGGGTAAAGCATGAAAAATGTAACCATGAATTAACAAATTTAAAAATCATTAGATAATGAAATGACAGTTTGAGTGTTGTTTACAGTGGTTAGGTGTCACGTTGGACACTTTGGGACAAATATCATAATAATAGAGGGATTTCGATATCTATCAATTTGATTAATACGGAAGGCGGAGCGTTCTGGACAAGATACAGATCTCAACTATTAACAAATATTTTCGTTATAAATTCAAGTTCTATCAATGTGTACATATATTTGTATTTGATGGACGCGCGTCTGTTGGCGCTTACGTTTCGCCTGGGAATTTCTTTAGCGAAAAGGTTGTTATCCTAAGCCATAATATCGTGCTAACAAGGCAAAATTGATGTTTTGACTCCGATTCTGCCAGGAATATAAATACTAAGATAATCGACAAATGAAGGAAATAAAAAAATTAATATGTATGTCTTCTAAATAGATTTTGTCAGAAATGCGTCCATCAAGGGACAGGAGATTTCTGAGCGGTATTTTATTTACAATTTATATACGACTTAAAAAAAAAACTTTAGATCCATATCGCTGAATTAATATTTAAAAAATAAAAGTAAATATTTAATTTCATGCTACATTATATTATACATTATATTAAATAAACATGCGTTCATTGACATTAAATGAAAATTGTTGCAACATTGACCAAAACTGCATGAATGGGTTGGGAGGAGATTGACGAAAAGATTGACACATCAACTTAAGCTTCCAGATTTTTGAAAATCTAATATTTGGAGTTGATCTATTGGTTAACGTTGATGGATAGATCAAACTTGAAAAACTGTCCTTTTTGTATTTGTGTACTTAATGAAAATGTGCTAGCACCGTTATATCGTTACATATTTTTATTTAAATTCCAGGTGAAAAACTACAGACGGGTGAAATATTTTATTAAAAAGGATATTAAGTGGGCTCGCTAGAAGGTATGTAAGATAAGACATGTGAAAAGTGTCCTGTATCCACGAAACCAAACTTCATAAAATCTATTTGGCTATTTGAATACAACTGTTGATACGAACCAGATAAAATAAAATATTATCAAACGTGAAATAAGTTTAAATGAATAACGGTTTGATATAATTGTTGTTATTCGGTTTGACCTCGAATTTTTTTGTGTGTACTGGGGAAATTCAATATCATATGTCTCGCTAGTTTGACTTTGAATTCATGTACATATCGGGCTCTATAGAATAAAAATTAACAATCTGCCAAAAAAATATAACCAATTCCGACTACCGAGAAATAATTCAGTTGAAATGCAGTTTTATGTCTTGGGAGAAATTAAGATATTTATTACTACAGAGAGCGGGACAAATAATTATTCAACTATATGAACATAGAACTAACTTCCAGAACAATAAAACTAGATTCTTATACATTCGCGGTCTTATGGGATTCATTTTTATGTCTTAGAAAATATACAATGTGCACAACTAACAACCCAAACTCGCTTTTATTGCTATCATATTAGAGTTTTATGAAATTTTTACAACAGGATTGGTCGTAATCTCTTCGTTCTTAATGTATTAGATGATGGATCTGGGATCGCAGCTTTGGCTTCTTCATTGATAATCTTTCGGTAGTTTATGTCTTTGTGCATAATACGGCAATTTTATTCCTGCCCATTAAATATGGTCAGATTAAAGCTGTCTCCAACAGTATTAAATTTGCCATGGTAATGTATGGGCCTATACTAAAATTAAATATAATTAAACATATACTTAGTCCTATTAAGAGAAGCAGGGTTTCATGTCTCATTTTGGAAATAAAAAAATGGCACGTTTTCTCAGACTAACTCCTCGTTGCCTAGTTGTCATTCTAGTTTTAACAAGAAAGTATTTTGGTATTGAAATCTTTAGATAGTATAATTCCTAGGTGTTTGGAAAAGATACTTGTCAGATTGGTGAATAATGAATTTTACAGATTATGTGGATAGATCATATTTTCATCTGCGAAAGCATTACAATTGCCGCCAGCTTGACGCCTCGTAGGATAAATCTCTGTTGCAGAAGCAACAGTTGTACAATATAGATATTGTTACTTTTTTTAATCATAACTTTTTTACCAGTGTCAGCTATTGTCTTGTCTGTTCTGTTTTGTGGACGCCTTATTGTTTGATAATTCTGAAAGTAATGAGGACCGGAAAATCTAACGATGAAATTCAGTCTTTATTTTTCAAACTGTGTTTTGTTACATATTTAAATAATGTTTGCATAACTTATGCACATGGATACATAGTTCCCTGTAATTTATTATGGTCCTTATAAAATGTGGACAATTTAACAACGAGGGGGTCCAAATCTTGTCAATTTGACCACTAGATTTTACATGATTGAAAAACACTTTCAGAACAAAACGTTTCACCCAAGATGACCTTACAAACTGGGACTATATAATTTCAATTATACAAATCTGATTTACAAACACTGCGGTCAGTTGTAATCGGATTTTACAGATAATATCAAACTGATCCATTTCAAACAGTGTCTCACATTAATATATTTCGGAATTTGTAGAACTGTTTGTGCCCGTTCGAGTTTTGTGGGTTTTTATCGGTTTTTAGTGCTAATTGAATTTGCCAGAAATTTGTCGGAATTAATGAAAGTTATAGAATATAACTGTCAATAGTTTCAGTGACTGGATTTTGATGAATTTGACATTAATTAGGAAAATGAAATATGCAGCATATCCAATTACACAGTCATTAAAGACTTCTTTTCTTTCAAAAATTGATATTTTTACAGTTACCGAGTCCGTCTCGGGTGATGTTGTTCAACCGTTATTGTTTTTCTAAGAGGTTAAACAATAAGATGACCTTCATCAATTTTTGAATGGAACTTTCGGTAAAAGCACTGTTATATTTAATTATCCAATACCTAACTTGGTCATTATTACGTCCTGTAAATTAATTTATAGAATGCTTAGGTTCTGCTGCGTTTCTAGCCAATTTTTTTATCTAATTTCCGTCTAGTATTCCCATATTGTTTAGAAAAATATGAAATATGGAAGTATTACTCAAGAAGTAATAACTGATAACAAAAGGTTTCAATATGAATAAAATTAATGTTGAGACTATGTTTAAAATGATATTTAAGTATTATCTTTATTTGAAACAGAGTCATATAATTGAGAAGGATAAAATGTTATTTCCTTGCATGTACAAAAGAAAACAAATATTGCGAAGTGGTTAAAAAAGTAAAATACGAAAACAATGTACTGGTCAAAGTTATATTTCTCCTGGGACTAATAGAAATTCAATGTATTAGTCCCAGTTTTCTCAAAGTTGAATGACGCAAAAAAAAAATATTCACAAACAGAAAACGACATCTTTAAGACAGAAATTTCCTAATTGAACTATCTCTATATATTTTTATATAATTCGCACGAAATATTACCGAAAAATTTATTTTCGGTTGTATATTACCACGTAAAGTTTTTTGTCCTTTGTTCGTATTTTTGTTTTCGTCATACATAATGTTGAATTTCTTTTTTAATTAGATATGGGGAAACTAAATTTTAATTTCTTTTTTTAGAACACCTCTTCTTTACATCTACAGATAAAAGGTCTTTATTCTAAAAACTTCAAATAAATTTCAGCAAAGAGGTTTCTAACATTTTGTAACTTTACATAGAGTGCTTCAACATACGAAAATCATTTTACCGTATTTAGTGTACTTTAATTTCATTGTTGGTTTAATTTACTTTAATCGGCAATAATAATAATGACCCTCAATAATATAATTATTTACTTAAATTTTGAGTAAATATCCAGTTTATTTGGATAATTCTTTAATATTGTCATTTCCACTGTACAATTCCTAAGGGCCTATATTTGGCATCTTAAATAGTTAATTTGAAGCAAAATATAACTGGTTTGATGAAGGCAAAGTTAAATGTTGACAGTAATTTTTGGCTAAAGGCGAAAAAAGGAATCATTTACAAAGTAAACTTGTTCTTGAATTGCAGACGAAACTATCTGTTTGATTATTTGATTGGTTGAGACGTACAGAAATACGATTTGTGAATAAGATCGATTTGGTTGGAGGCGGGAAAGGGGCGGTCCAGACGGGTCCATTGTCTGTTGAATGAATTGTATATTACATGGGTCAAAATAGTGATTGAACACATAAACAATTATTTTACACAAAATATACCGAATTTACTATCATTGAAGGACAGACAGATTTCAATAAGTAACATTTAGTGGATTTAAACAAACATTTGATATATATTGATATTTTGTCAGTCCTTGGACAGGTTGGAGTGTTTTAGTACTGGCATAAAGGCGTTAATCTTAGTTTAGTTATCAGGAAGTTGTCGGCAAGTTTTCGCATCTGCGGTTTTAGTTTTAAAGTTCAAGAAAAAAAAAGGTAATTGCCAGACCTAACGTTTATGGACCATGCATTCTCTGAAAACATGCACACTTTGAAAATCATCTATTATCTTTAAATTTATCAGGTTTTAAACTGCATTCGACGGGATATGATTTAAAATGTTTTCTTAATTAATGATGTTAGATTTCTTCGCCTCCTATTTTCCCCTAAATTTATCAAGTTGAAGCTGATCTTGCATGAAAGGTAGAATTACCAAAACAAATAGTTTTTATACTGTTTGTTGTGACGATTTATGTTAATTTACTATCTTTTTAAAACGGACTATTACACATTTTAACACTGATATCAATCAACTTTAAATTTTATTATCATATTTTTTCATTTTGATATAAATATTAAAAAATAATTTAAAATCCCCCATCAACTATAGTTAGCTCGCCCAAGGCAGGGCTCTACTTGACAGCTCATCCATTACATCGTACTGTAGTAACACTGATTTGATTGACAGCTGAAGTAGTGGTAGCCACGAGTTAAGACAGTTATACTCGCTAAACTAGGGTAGTGTTGACGGGAAGAAAAGTGTACTATGTTTGACAGTTTAGTGTTTCTTTGACAGGTCACAGGATTTGTTTATGCCGGTGGGACTGTACACAGAATCAACGTTATACAGAATTGATAAAACAATCGGACTTATCAAGGCCTTCGGACGGAAGGTTTAACCTCGTCCATGGCTAACCGAGTGGTACGTATATAAACTATCTTTGATTTCCTGTCGGAATTTTAACGCGGGTACCTGTGTCAAATTTATCACGTATACAGGAAGTATTTTAAATGGTTTTTTTAACTTGTAAATTCTTTTTTATTTTTTCAGTACGAAAATGACATGCCGTCACATTATGGACCAAGTATTACGGGGATGCCGGACAGTATGTACGACTCGCACCGATTACAAAATCTCCATCAGTCGCCCCCTGGAATGGGGCATCAGTCTTACCCTCCTTATTCAACAAATAGCTCAATGCCTGTTAGTTCATCACAGGACAGTCAATTAAAAAGAGACAAAGACTCTATATACGGGTATGTAATCCTCCACGTGCATCCGTGTATTGGGATTTATTTCACCAATATATAAGTGTGATAATTATTTATTTTACTTTGAGGATAATTTTTATTGACATTTCCACAATACAAGTAAGTAATGTTGATTATATTAAAGTTTTTGTTATATCAATCAGAGGCCGGCAATTTTGTTTATTATCATTTATATCATTATTGGAAGAGTAATTCTAATACACAATATGGCCGCCGGTTGTTTACATTGATAACTTCTCTCTGTTTTCAGGCACCCCCTATTCCCATTGTTGGCACTTATATTTGAAAAATGTGAACTAGCAACATGTACACCTCGGGAACCTGGCGTAGCCGGTGGGGACGTATGTTCATCAGAATCATTCAACGAAGATATAGCCGTTTTTAGTAAACAAGTTTTAGTAAGTTTTTTTGCCGTATTCAAAATTATAGATAAATATCGCTGATAAAAGGCATTTAAATTATTCAAACAATTGTGAAAAATAGTTTTGAAATGAGTTGACATAAAGATTATATTTTGTTTGAAATGAATTTATTATTTAACAAATTTAGCAAATGTATATTTTGAAAGTAAAACAATAATTGAAACAAATGGTGATTGAAAAAGTAAAACGAAAGTAGAGATAGTCTTCAAACAAAGTCATATAATTTGAAATAATTCTTAAATTTAACTTGCAACATTTTTAAATTGTATAATAAAAACTTTGATATATTGGAATTGATTATATTATTAATTTACTCTAGGCACGGTCAGAAAAACCACTGTTCTCAGCAAATCATGAACTTGATAGTGTGGTGAGTGAAATTTCAATATTTTCATCATTATAAAAATTCTTTATTTTCTTCCTATTAACATGATTAATACTTTTTGAACTTTTTACACCATACCTGTACCTCTTTAGAAAATTCTGTAATGAGCCATGATCCTTGGAAGAAATTAACAACACTGTTTCAACACATGGCCTCAGAAAAATTTTTGTTGAAAAATTGCCCAGCTGGTAAAAAACAGAACTATGTATATTTTTCTTGCTAAACTTGATTAAAAGTTTCACTAAGTATGTTTACAGAATTATTGTCAGTAATTTTCTCTTTCTGTATGGAATTTCTTTTATCAGGAAATAATTGTTTATACTAAAATATCCATTTCTACTAAGAAAAATTATAATTTAAATTTCTAAGTATATTCAACCTTATTTTTAAACACATTTAAATAGACTTTGATTCCACTTAATCACTGCTAGGATAATTTTTCAAATAAAAGATTCTTTTTTTAAATCTTATTTTTTTTTGTTTAACATTTCAGATGATTCAGGCCATTCAAGTTTTGCGATTTCACTTACTGGAATTAGAAAAGGTAAGCGTACAATTATATCTACTTGACCATTTTTAACTGTATTATTTATTTGTAAAGAAATTTGATGAATAAGGACCAAAAATAAACTTATCAGGGGGAACATGTTACTAAGCCTTAGATGATATGGAATGTGGGACACAATCTGACCCTATCTTTAACCTCGGTAAAAAGCAGAGATAAGTTCCAAATCTCCTTTCTTCAATGTAAATATTTAACAAATGAATGTAAATAAAGTTTATTAGACATTTCCTTTACTGATAAAAATCGTAAATTAGTACAGGACAAATATTAACAAAATTATATAATTGTTGATTTTTTTTTCATTTTCAGGTGCATGAACTATGTGACAATTTTTGCCATAGATATATTAGTTGTTTAAAAGGAAAAATGCCAATAGACTTAGTTATAGATGATCGCGAAGGAGGAAGTACTACATCAAAATCTAGTTCGGATCCTACGGACCCTTCAGACCCCGTTGTTGATCAGGTAAGACCAAATAATTTTATTATACATCAGAAATCGACAGGAAGATATCCTACAAGGCCCCTCTCCATCCCCCCTCCCAGACAGAAAAGTATTTTTTACTCTCGTTAACTAATACACAATTATACAGAAAGTGATTCGACCAAATCATCATCCCTCCCTCCCCACCCTCTTTCCAAAATATTCAAGACTACCTCCATTCCAAAATAAAAGATTATTCTAACAGTTACATTTTTTTAGTACAAAAACAGATATTTTAAAACAAAGAATATAATTTATGACATTGAGTATTATTTATGTACACAATGTATAATTTAAATTTGACTATAAATATTACATTTATTACAATGAAATAGTGATTGGTAAATATGAAAACTCTTTTCAATACAAAAATGAAGGAAAATAATAAAAAATATTAAATGCCAATATATCTGCTAAAGTTGTAAACCTTCTAGATTTATTTTGAAATCAATAATCTATTTATAAGATATAAATAACCTCTAAAATATTATAAGCAAAAACAAAACAACTGTTGGATGTTTTCAACTTTTACATAAAATCAAATAGAAAAACTGAGAGTTGTTTTCATCTCTTTAGAAATATCCCGTTTATTTTGTTTATTTTGCCAATTTTTTTTCAAAAGTATGTAATTGCTCTTTTGATGGAATTTTTTGGCTTTATTATTTTGATATGTGTTCTGAAGGTCAACAGGAAATACACTAGTGGTTTAAAGTTGTGATTTGAATTGAAAACAGAAGTGGCCTCATCAAAATCACATTATGGAGTGGTCATTTTAACTTTCTCAGTTGATTGTGACTTTAGATAAGGGGGGATATTCATGGGGAAAATTGATAGTAAGGAGAATTTAAAATATCTTGTTATAAGTTGAATTATATTTGTGGATTAAAGTGTCAAATGTCATGACGATCCCTAAAGGTATAAATTCTTTTATGGTCATCACATTGAAATGACCATAGGGAAAGATAAAATCAAGTTTCCTGTTCATAAAATTGCCAGAATATGCAATTACGGAAAAACAAATAAACCCAAGGAATTGTTTGTTCCCTTTTAGCAAAATTGTAACTTTGTAAACATATTAATTTATCTTATTCTAATATTGAATAACTCCAGATGCTAAATTGATTTTAATTTTTCTCATTAAATTTGGTGTGTTTTATGATTTTTTATTGGAGATGTAATATGTATTGACAGTAACAATAAAAATGGTAATTTTCATTGTAAATTCATAATAATCTTGTGTTAAAATATTCCCATTTGCAATTTTCTTGATTGTTGTAATTTCTACAACTATATAATTAATTAAAAGTTTCATATTTCATCCATTTCAAACCTCTCACTTTCCACCTTAACAAATTAAAAATAGAAATCAATGAATGATATAGCTATGTTGAATCCATCTATAAAATATTTATTTCAATTTTCCAAAAAGGTATCATTTTTAATTCACATCATTAAATAGCAATAATTAATTTAAAAAAGAATAAATTGGCAGGTAATTTTGATATTAGATTTAGATAAAAGATTTGTTTGGGTTTCGTGTTACTAAGGTTTTGATAGTGATGTGAAACAGGCAGGTGTAATGTTTTTTATGGATGTAGGCTCCGCTCTACTGAGAGATGGCATTAATGACTTAAGATTAGAGAGAATATATGTGCAGCATATCACTTAAGTTTCATCATGGGCAGAGTCAATAGGCCAAAATGACACTGCCATCATTTTTCAATTTTTGGCTGGCCATCTTAAAAGTTGTGGTAAAAATTCTTCATTTTTATTTTCGAAAAGAACTCAAATACATTTCAATGCATTAGAAACACAAATATTAAATAATATAAAAAAGGGAGATAATTAAAATTTAATTAAGTCCGTTTCCTTGTCAGAGAATTCTCTTGAAAGTTGATTCCAGACACAATATTTATTTTTTCACAAATTTCCAATACCAGTATATCATGACTGCAGATTTTACTTTAATCAATTTTTGTATGAATTGAAGTTTTTTTCTGCATTGTTTAGCGCCATGTGTTTTGATTTGATTGATGAATTGATTAAAAGGAAGTGTCATAATTTAAGTGAAAAAGCATCAGATGCCGAAATTTACAAATATGGTTGTTTTTTGCGTTGAATTGTATAAATGAGTATGATTAGCCTTTTCTCTTGTCACGTTAACGCAAAAGGATGAAAATGTCAGAACCAAATGCTTGGTTGCTAAGGAGATTGAATCTTTAATATTGCAAATTTTATTCTTTAGTCCCTCATGCACCGTTTTCTGTGCGTGGTAATTACCGATGGCAACTAAATATTGTATTGGTTTCAAAGAAAAAAGATCTTTTCTTCTTAAACGTGGAAAGATTGTCCTGGTTGGTGAAGAAAATCTAATTTAGATTCTCCTGTACTTGAAGTTAATGGAGAGTTTGAATGTAGATGGCATTCTGGTGAAAAGAGCAATGAAAAAACGTATTGTACAGGACCGTAAAGTGTAAGCACAGAAAGGAAGTTCTCCAATGACCACTTGGAAGATAATACTTAAATCAAATAATGGACGAGTTATAGATTTAGTAGGATAAAATCAACACTTTCTATTCCATAATAATCTTATTAAGCTTGAGTTAAATCGGTTGTGATACGTGAAAGTAAAAGTCTTAATTTCTCCTTCCCTTGAATACTTAATTCAATAATCTTCTACCTTTTTCACTTCCTTCTAAGTGTGTGCCTTTTTTTGAACGTAAATTTATTTAATATCAGCTTTATAATGAACAGACATTCTTGCAAAAAATTAGATTTGCAATTACATTCAATTCTTTTTTTTTTGAGTTGATTGTAATGGGTCGACTTTTATATGCTTTGCACCATAGCTATTGTATTTTCTTTCTTTTTTTTTTCTTTTCCTGCATGTTGTATTTATTTTTGCTTTCGCTTTCACCATGACTAATTGCCTAAGCTGCATATAACTAGCTTTTCTGCATCAGTAGATTTGTTTTGCTGACATTTCTTTTTAAAATTAAAAGCTAGAAAGCATGAGATTACCATAGAAATTAGAAACATATGCTGATTAGGGGACTAAACCCAAAAAGGCTAATTTTAGGCGTACTTTCGCAGCGTGCTCCCTGGGTGTATAAGATGTGATTAGAGGAGAAGAGAATGTCTTTTTGTGTGTCGCTAACGACAACAATAGAAGTATGACATCGTAACCCTAGGGACAGATTTCATTGTGATTTTTATGGTTTGTTTGTTGGCTGTGTAATTCTATTTTATATGGAGTACCATTTGTTCCACAACAATTGTAATAAATGTAATTGAGTATTCATTAGTCAAATTCATTAATTTTTACTACAAATTGCCATACACAATAGTAAGTGCAATTGAAGACCTCCATTTTGTAGTAATTGTTGTTTTTATCAGGATTGACGATTTTAAACAGTATGATTGACGTTTGCATCTTTAATCCGTCTATCTTTAAACGTGTGTTTGTTTCCTTGTTAGAGAAATGAATTCCTTGTCAAGAGGACAATTAAAATTGCCTGTAAGAAATATTTTTCTTTCCTTGTTGTTATTTTTTCGTGTAAATCGTATCATTTGCGTCATTGAATTAAAAAAAATTGACCACTGTGTGCATTAGATAATGCACTGTCATCACATCCTGATCGAGGTAACCCTTATTTGTGTGGGATTAAACGAAGATTAAACATTAAAGCTAATATGCAGATTCTATTCCTATTTTTACCCCCTACAACCAGAATAGGGGCCACAAAGGTCATCGTTTCTGTGTAATTTCGGGTACGACATTGTTTCGTGGGTTGTTTCACTCTAAGCATACTACTTTACCGTAAAATTTTAAGACTTGTGTGTGAAGTAGTGATTTAACCACCTACGAAACTTCAAAAGACTGTAGAAATACACCAATCGATATCATAGAAAAAGTTTCATTTGCACAAGACTTTACCAACTTAACCAAGTTTATAAGACTGCTCAATTTTTTGGCAGCATAATGTTTATTTTCAAATCTTCCATCTCTTTTGTAAAGAGTTAGACGGATTAGTTGGATTTGTTGAAACGAAAAAATATCAAAATTACCAAGAAGTTACGGTATTACTGTAGATGTACTCGGAAAATGAAATTAAAACTACTTGTGAAAATAGGAAATAATTTCTTCAGTTCTGAAGTAGTGTATAGATGTTAGCCACTTGAATACTATTGTAGTGTCAATTAGGAAGTAATAAATGACAAGACAGATACATAACCTAAGCTATTGGAACTTGAATCTAAAACATAAAGATGTTTAAATAAAGGATTCCTTCCTTCATCTTTAGTTTCATACATATCTTGCATTTGGGGGAAGTAAATGCCACCAATTTGCCATTTCTTAACAGGAAATTAAGTCAAGATTTTTGATACAACTGTTGTTTTATTTTTTGCAGTGAAAAGTATGTTGTTAAACACAAAATTAGGTCAAGTTTTTAATATATACATACTGTTTTTATTTTTTTGTCTGTAAAATGATATGCCACAAAACTACTTTTGTACGTAATTTTTTTTTTATCAAGAAGAAATTATGCCACTTAATTTTTTTTTTTTGTATTGTTATCAGTAGAAAATACTGACTGTAAATTTTTTGTAATATTAAATTGAATGTTATACAAAGTACAGCGTTGCTGTTATCTCGCTCATCCGTACTGACATACTATGTTTATTTACATAGGAATGCAACGGAAAAGTGAGGTTAGATTTGTCATAATAATTTTGTTTCTAAAAATACAATTTTCTTGACTGTATTGTAATTTCAGGAACATTAACCAAATCTTTGATTAACCTTCTTTGTTGTGTGTATTTTTTGTTTTTGGTGGCAGTGTTAACCTCCTTAAGCTTGTGTACAGTAGATTTGCATTTATTGTTTTCCCTAGAAAGGAATTCCGAGAGAAAACCAAAGCAGGAATTTTATATATATATGTTTTCCGCTTCAAGTTCCCTTAGCTTTTATCATATATGGC